AATTTCATTACAATTTATTTAGTTTTGAATCGAATTCAAGGACTTTCTTTTAGCCGTTATATTTTTATTATTTCATCCACTTTGCAGCAAGAGAAGAAAGAAATATGTATAAAAGCAAATAAAGGGGAAGGTTGACGTCTATGTTCAAACCCTGCAATCTTGTCTAAGCCTAAGAGTTTACTGTAACCACCCATATGGTATAGTGGTTAGTGACACTGACTGCGGTGTCGTAAGGCTTGGGTTCGAATGCCGGAGAAGGCATCGATGTTTGTAAATGTATATTGTCTTCGCTTTATGAGGTTATTCTGAATAGCCGTCATTCCGCAAGTCCTCTCGTGAGGTTAGGGGTAAATGGGACCCCCCGACAGGTTCCCAGGTTGTTCTCCCTTAAAATGGGGTGGAACCGAGCAAAATCGTACTATCACCTGCACGGTGCTCAAAGCTAAGGTTAACGATAGGCGTAAAAATCTAGATCTTAGCCGCGATGAATTTCGTGGATCTTGATCTGATGTTACTGTCGATCAGGTGGCATAAGTAACAACAACACTGTAGAATAACTTTGCTATTCTACTTTAATCTTGACTGCCTTGCTAACTTTTTTTTTGTTGGCATTGAGTTAAAATTATAGGACCTTAGTGTAATATTAATGATTTCATATAAATATTTACATATCACATGCAATATAAAATGATGGATGTGCGAAACATTTCTTTTTTTATCTATCGACTTGAGATTTTGGATTTAATTATGCAATTTGAAGATATCTTTTGTACAAAGAATAGTACCAGCGTTTATCGTAGAAAGATTTTGTGAACCATCTTATTCTGTTTACTCCTAACGCAAATGTCTTGAGTTAATCATTGATTATAAAGTGGTTTAAGAATTTTTTGTTAAAAGCATAAATAGTTTCTTTGGTAAAAACATTGCTGTTGTAATTTTTGATAATAAAATTATGACAGTTATTTGGTTCCTCCTCCCCAAGTTGAAATATGGCAGCGGTAGCCTGTTGGTTATGGTCACGGACTCATGGCCGGCGTGTCATGAGTTCAAGTCCCAGTGCCACTGAAGATTTGACTTACAGAGGGGATGCACGTCAAATATATCAAGCTAAATGTCCTGTTGGCGTGGTGTGGAGGTTCGGAGAGGGGCTGCTAGCTCAAGTGTAGTTCTAATAACTTGACCATGGTTCAAAGTTACGAGGTCATCGAAAGAAAAAATTATGATTTTATGTTTTCCTGCTCCCTCTTTTTTCTTTTTCTTTGGGTCTGTACGGTGCATTTGTATTGGATAATTTTATTATTTTTTATGAATTTGTAAGAATGCTAGAATAATGTATATTCTTTCTTCCTTCTCTTATGCCCTTTGTTTTCTTTATAATTATTATTATTGCTTTGTATATTTGTATGTATGTATATATCGTACAGTTAACTTTGATATTTTCCCCCATAAAGACTGGACGTGGGGTTGGTTGTTTTCCGAGGGATCGGTTTATAGCTTCAAACCCTCTTCGGGTTAGCTTGGTTCCTTTGGGCATTCTGCCAATTGGCCCTTGTGTTGCTTCACAATTCCATATTCATAAACACTCCAAGTTTAATTCATTATTGAACGAATTCCCAACTTTTTGCATTTTTTCTTTAAAAATACTTATTTATTTTGGACATAAAATGAACCTTGGTATTAGTTTCGTAAGTGTGGTGATTATTTTTTAGATCTAATTTTTTTTTTCTTTTGCAGTCACTCCACCACCAGATGCTGTGGACGATGAACCGGAGCCTTCCGCTCCTCCCTTGGAGTTGATGGACAAAGTCCGAGGTTATGAAAGTGCATCATTTGAAGCTGGTGAGTTATTTTCGTCATGCTTATCATAGATTTCTGCTTGTTACTTATAAATGCGCCAACTTGTTTCATAATATAGATCTGAATCAATATTTCATTAGATCTATTTAGACAAAATTCTTGGTTATGTGAAGCTCTGTTTACTGTGTTAAAAATTCTGAGAAAACCGAAGCTCTTTTACAGTTTTACTAATTGCAGAATTCATTTTTTAAGCAACTCAAAAGCGTTGTTTATTTTAATTGTTAAATATACAAATGCATTGTATCTCGTTCATAAAACGGATCTACTATTATGTCCAGTTTAAAAAGACCACACTTTCAAAAAGTATAAGGTTGAATAAGTTGTTTGTAAGTTTGTGGTTCCCTTACCGATTTAAAATATTTTTGATTCGGAAAAATGAAATTGTGAAGAGCTGAAATCATTCTAACTTAACCAAATTGATCATTCATTCTCATGATTATAAAATTAGTGACGGTTGAATAATTATTTGAAAGCAACATTTTTTTAACCTTGGATAAGAATATCCGAACTTTAAATATTTTCACATTATTTCCCTAATTTCAAAATATCCAACCGAATATTTTGAAATCAGGGCCTGTTTTCGAATAGTGAAAGCTAGAGTTGGCGTAATTTTGGTTGGTTAATTTTCAATTTCCCTCTAATTTGTAATAAGTATAGTTAGTGTTTCGAAAATACCTGGCAAAAATGTAAAGGCTGGTAGAGGAGATCGAAATAAACAGATTTTGTATGGAAGATAGTTTATACAACTTCCAAACTTAATCATCATTAAATATTACAGCTTCTTCAATATCGAATTTGAAAGAAAAATAAACTGTCGAAATTACAGTAAAGCGGAAGATGGAAAAATCCTTGGATCGGATAAACCCCTCCTAAGGTGTTGATCGTACTGACTCGATGGTGCGAAAGAGAGAGCTGGGTTTATAAAATGTTGCAATGTACATTGTTTTTGTTTTTTTTATTCAATACTCTTTGATCAATAACCATCACTTTGGGTTTATATTTTAGAAAAATAATTTTATTTTTTTAGTCTAAAATCGTCTAACCAAAATTCAGTCCATCTTTTTCGAAAATTCAACTCTTTTGAAGCAGTGTTAAGTTGAAAAATTATTATTTTTCACCTTTTCTCCATGCCATAGAATATCTTTTCTGCATTGGTAGGTTTCGATTAATTATAATTTTTCTCTCCTCATATAACCGGGATCCGCCTTGCTGGACAAGCTCCCGACTTCCGGTCTGCTCGATTATACGTCACTATAAGTCAGTCTTAATTCTTTCCGAAATTCTCGTCATTTTGTAAGATAGTCTATTTCTTTCTCACCTACCAGCGAAACAAATTACAAGCATGTATGAAAACATCGTGAGTTGTTTACGAACCTCTGAAACTGAAGGGAAGTGACTAAAGCATGTGTCTGAGAGAGCGGTTATTCTGGTTGTTCTTCACCCCCGAGTTCAAGGATTTCGCTTTTTATCTCGTAAACAATTTTGACAAGAAGTAATACCCAAAAATCATATTTCTGGCGGTGAACTGTGCTACTGTCATCGTTTTTCAGGTTCTGTTTTTACGCCGTGGGAAATTTGTTGTGAAATGTGAGGGGCATTCTAAATTGGAATTTTTTCGATAATATCTGTATTTTTTGTACGAGAGGAATATTAATATCAGTAAAAAAATAAATATAACTGTAGAATGCTTCTATGCAAAAGCTGTACATGAAAATGTGTACGTTAATGCAAAGAAAAAAAATCTCAGAAGTTATTTATTTTTTATTTTATTTTTTTTAAATTAGTTTCGTTCTAGGCCTCCGGAAATGATAATCCAGCGCATTCCCTAATTATATAAATTTTCTTTTTCACGCTCACAATTTTTACCCACTTCAAAGGATCAGATTAATTCTAAATTTTGTACATTTGTCAAGAACCGATGGCAATGCAATAATTTCATAATTTTGTTCCATTGTCCTGATCAGGATCATCAGGAATAACGATTTCCAGATTTGGCGACTTATTCCATATACCATTTCCAGATTTAACGACTAAAAGATTAGGTATAACCCTACAAACGAATACACTGGAGTTTAATACAAATGAAACAAACAAACAAAAAGTGTTCTTTATGTGAGATAAGGGAGGGTGGGTGCGTCAGCAATTTCTTACCATAATATAAACAATAGTCTAGTTTTTCTGAAAATGGAAATAAATAAATTATAGTTTTTAAAAAAACTAAAAAACACGCTTTTTTGTTAATCGAACTAAAAAGTAAAAAAAATTCTTCTTAATTTAAAAATAAAATGATTAACGAGAAAATTAATGTCATTGGGATAAAAGCGTGGGGTGCTTGCTCTATATTAATTGTTTTAATTTTTTACTAGTTCTATTCCAAAATGTTGAGTTTGTGTAAAAATGTAGTACAAAGCACCCCCACACTTTTACCACAATGGCATTAACTTTCTCGTTAGTTATTTTATTCTTATATTAAGAATTATTATTTATTTTTTTAATTTTTAGTTCGATTCACTGTAAAAGCGTGCTTTTTAGTTTTTTTAACTATAATTTATTGTATTGCTGCATTTAATATGTTTGTATTAACCTCCCCCCCCCCCCATTTCTTAGTGACGGTGGTCATAGTCTTTGACTCGTGGCCGGCGAGTCGCAAGTTGGAGCCTTGATGCGTTTAAAGATTCGCTGTATGAAGATATTGCACGTTAAGTCTGTCGTGGATTGGATGAATGATTTTATGGAAGCGAAGTGTGGAAGTTGGGAGAGTGGGGTGTCAATTCGGATGTCGTCCTCATCACTTGATAGAGGCTCAGAATTACGAGGTCCATCGTCGTTAGTCCTCGAACAGCTTTAGAGTTGCGATGTTAATCAGAAATCAGCTTTGCACTTCTTTTTTTCAGTTTCTACTATTAATTCACACTCTCTCCCTATTAAAATATATTCATATTTATTTATATATATCTTGTTCAAATATTCAATCGTTAATAAAATACTTTCTATTCATCCATTCAAGTTCAAATACATTTTTTTAAACTTGTAGTGGATGACACTTGATGTTAATACAGTTTTTTAAAATATTAATTAAATTAAAAAAGGAATAAAAAACAATAGTCTGAACATCATATATAGAAAAGAAAATCGTTCGTTGTGTCCCTGTAGCGCAATAAATAGTGCTTTGGATTTCTTATCCAAAGGTCGTGGGTTCGAATCCCACCTGGAATGGCCTAATTTCTGAGAATGTGATTTCTTCTTTACTATACTATTTTATCAGAATAATTAAATTTAATTAGTGAATAAATAGTATAACAAACAAAAAATAGTCCAACACCATATATAGAATGGAAAATTGCTTTCTATTTTGTCACTTAATATTGTGATTCTGTCATATGTATATACATATTTATATTAATTGTAACTATTTAATGAAAAGAATCTAAAATAATTTTTTCTTTGTTGACATAAGTAGGATGCGACTTTAAAAAAAAATTTTATATTGTTCTCTTCAAGTGCTGGATCAAACGTCGACAACCTTTGGCACTCGGTAGAATTTTCCAGTGGCACTCTACACTATTCTACAAATTATCAATTTTTAAATGGATGGTAGTTGAAAATTTTGAAATGGAGCTTTTTGAACCTACATCTTTAACATTATGGAAAACAAAATCTACAAAAATACGGGAAAAGTTTGGAAAGTAACCCTACGATAAACAGCCATTTTAAATTGTTGGATGTCATTGCCAGGAAGATTTAATTATCTGTAGAAAACTGGGTTTATTCTGCTTTCCGCTTTTGGTTCTACATATCCATGTGAACAAATTTTTTCTCACATGAAAAAATATTTTTGAGTCTTCAAAGAAGTTGTTTTACAATTGAACGTTCAGAATCGTGTCAAATTGAAATAATGTTAAACAGTTTAAAATGTTTTTAAGAAATGCATAATATATGTATAATTTAAATTTATGTTGAAGGAATAGTTATATTTCATATTGTATTTTTAAATATCTTTAAACGATGCACAAATAAAACTCTAAATTTGTATCATTGAACCCCTATTCCCCATTGATCCCCCCAGATTTGTATCATTGATTTGTATCCCCTAATTCCGCATGGCATTACCTCAGAAATCGAATTGTTGCAAATGTTTCCTGCAATGTGGCACCCTGAATCATATTTGTAGATCGGTGGGGCACACTACAGCTACAAGGTTGTTGATAAATCATTGTTTTAATATCAACTCAAAATTCATGTGGGAAGGGAAATGTTTCTATTCGAATTCATGTATGTTTTGTTCGAAATAATTTAGTTGACCAATCATGTATAAATACTAAATTAATTTTACTGCTGGATTTCCAAGCTTTATCGCTATAACACACACGCATGCATATAATTGTTGATAGTGTAACATATTCAAAATGCTCGCATGTAAAAAATTTCAACTGTTATGATAATAAAAGAATGAAATATATTTATTTATATTCTCATGTCCAAAATTAGGGCCACAAACACATTTTTCGTCATCATTTTAAAGTGCCTCCAGTTGTATTTTATATACTTTGAAGAACGGGTAGAGTATACAATATCAACCTTCAATGTAGGAAAAGATGTTGCTTATATAGCGCTAGTTTTTGCAGAACTACTGGATTGAGACTGTTCAAGCATGTGGGAATTTTGCCTCAAGTTTTGTGTATATTGCGTTAAAACAAACAAGTTAGTCTGTTTGTAGTGCGAATAACTTCTCATAATCATTTAGATGATTCCTTGAGATGGAGAGCCGGTTGGCAGACTTGAATCTAGCCAGTCTCAAGCGGAGGTAGCTTGATTGTTATTGGTGGTCCGAAAGTGGTCTCCCGGTCATGAAATCAATTTTAAATAAGTAGTTCTGTCATCAGGAAGGTCCCCAGAGAGCATCGACATCTGCGCGGGATCGCTACTTGTCATTAAGTACACGACGACATAGGTGCATAGTGACTCCTCAGCTTGCTCGTGACCTTGCTGCTTTGTCTGGAAGAAGAATTTTCAGGCAAACAATCTACAGCTGTCTTGGAGAGACTGGCCTTTACGCCCTGCTTCCGGTCTGGTGCGTCCTTTTGTCTGCATCCAACAGGGCTGACCGGATATTGTGGAGCTGAAAACATCAGTCGTGGACAACACAAGAATGAGGGCTTGTACTGTTCAGTGATGGATCAAAATGTACCAGACAAAGTGATCCTCGTCAAGTCATCACTTGGTGAGAAAATGGAGCTCAATTTAATCCCTCCTACGTAACAAAAATCGACAGATTTAGTGGCAAAAGAATCCTTGTGTGTGTGTGTTGGCATAATGTTGAGCAGTTGTACACCGCTGTATGTTTTCGATGCGGGCACTGTTAACTCGCAATGCTACAGGGATGAGATCCTGGTAGCCTGTGTAAGGTTTTTCTAGGTGCTAATGGGCCCGGACTACATTTTTATGGACGATTATGCGCAGCCACATAGAACTCACATTGTTGATGAATTTCATGAAGAATCGGACATTTGTGTCATGGATTGACCCTGGAGGTCTCCGGATCACAGTTCTATTGAATATATTTGGAATGGTCAAGAAAAAGCCATTTCTCAGCGTTGCTCCTCTCCCAGGATCCTCCAGGAATTAAGCCCCGATTTTGGAAAAATGGGCTTTGTTGCCACAAATACTTATCAACACCCTCTTAAACAGTATGGCAGATCGTTGTGAGTCTTGTATAACAATTCGCACTCTATATTAGGCAAACTTTTCCCGAGGTAAATGCTTTGTCTCTGATTCACGATTTCATACTTTTTGATGACTTGTACCTTAATTAACAATTAAAATCTTTTCCATGTTGTTATGCCTCTATATTCTTTCTGAGTTTGTAATACGTCTTTATGCCAAATTTCGTGGCAACGCAGTAAATAGTCCATCAGTTTTTACAGATTTTATGTTTTATGACCTTAATTTTGGATATGAGTATATATTCATGATTTAAGAAATATAGTTTCGACTCTGTTCAGTATACGGCGTCCAAAATTATCATCGGAGCTGTGTCCTCGACAAATAATGTGACAGCTGAGAATGAGTGTGGCCTGCCATCATTGAAAGGCAGGAGGAAACTTGCCACCATTAAATTTACAAACAAAATCAGAAGCTGTGGCGAACAACATATTTCCAACATCACTTTTCACTCCTGGACAGCTAAGAATAGGCTGAAAAGATCTTCAACACTTCAGTTTGATAAAGATATCAGAAACAACATTAACTTGAATCACACAAGCCTTGACATCATTCAAGAACCTTGTTTTAGAGTCAAACCACCTCCCTCTGCCAAAATATTTTTAGACCTTGAGCCTTGCACGAAAAAGGAATCTAAAGACACAATTATCAGTCTTATGAGGCCTCGTTTAGTAATTGCCTACACTGATGGTTCTTCAGACTCAGAGTGCAATAGGGGTGGATCTGGTGTCTTTCTTAAATACCCAGATAATACAACTTCAAAGCACAAGGTCTCCGCAGGGCAAATTGCTTCCAACTTCACGTGTGAGCACATAGCAATTAGGACAGCCCTAGATATTTACCTTACATGGACAGATATCGCTATTTCCGACGGCATTATTGTTCTCTCCGATTGTAGATCCGCTCTTGAGGCCATCATGAAAGGAAAAATGGGACTCACCCAAGAAATCAACTCTCTTTTACTTTCCATTGGTGCATTGGGCAAATCATGCACCCTCCAGTGGATCCCGGCCCATGTTGACATCGAGGGAACGAGATGGCGATTTCCTTGCCAATGAAGCCAGAACCTTGAACGGTAACTTCTTCGACTACGGTCTTTGATGCCAACGCAGTCGCAAAACAAAAGCTCTGCTCAAACCCACGAAAAAAATTCTCGCTGCCAGAATTAAATTATAGCCGAGAAATTACAACAACAATAACCAGACTAAGGACAAAACATTTTAAGGGCATGAAGATTCTGCCTGATGGATCCAGATCATATGTGGAATGCAGGCACTGCCCAGGCAAGCAACTGGATCCCAAACATCTTTTTAACTGTCCTTCCATTGTTGGTGCCCTTTTTAAGATAGACAATGACTATATACAGCATGGACATCCTATACTCGGATCGTGCCTTGGATGTTGCCACGGCAGTGATTCACGCCTTTGGCAATATTTGACTAATTTCTTTATCTTTATTTTGTTATATACAATACCTTTGCACTTTGTCATACACGACAACAACAACAACAAGAAATGTAGTTTCAAAAAAGATGAAAAGTAATTTGCCTTGTCAGCTAATAATCAAAAGATCTCTCTTATATAATAGGAAAAATGACAAACGGAAAGCAAAATATTAGCGTTAAAAATATAAATAAAATCAAGAGAATAAAGGATTGAATAGTTGTGCATTTGGAAACTTTAATTAGAATTTATATACAAATGCATCTGATTTAAAGGCGCTTTATTGTCAAATTTCAATGGCTGTCTGTCAGTAACATCTAACAGTTGAGTTATATGGAACTTTTTTTACGTTCTTTTTTCTGCTATTTTCGGTAGTACAAACTTTTCCGTTTTGATAACGAGAAGATTGAGTTATTGCTCATCGTTTATTTTGACAACTCACATTTTATAACTAAAACTTCCGCATCACCGTCATGTGCTTCCGTCAGAGAGGACTTAGTATACAACAGAGATTTTACTACCCTTTTACGGAAGTGTGTATTTTTCTTTGCACCACTGAAATTCATCTGTATATCTGCTTATTTTTTGCAAAAAATAGAAAGCTTTAGTTGTCCCAAAAAATCTTTTTCGATACAAGTTTCCTTTTACGATATAAAACATAAACTTTTAAGACGAGTTTTTGTTTATATAAACCTTCTTGACACACGAATAGGATATTTTTAGCTCGTATAAAAGTAACTGACTGTTGTCGAAATCGTGATTTTGAAAAACCGCATAAATGAATAATTTTTTTGATTTTTAGTATCAGTTGATTTTGTAGAAACGAAAATTGTTTCACAAATATTACTACTATAAAAAATAATTTATTTTTATTTTTATTTATTTATTTTGGCAAAAAAAGAGTTACTTATATTTAAAACATTTTCTTTTTATGAAAAATGCTTTGATAATAAAACAAGATATCAATCATTGGCATGGCCAAGTCATTTTAACGCGTTTTTCACATGTTGTATTTAACAATAATGCAACTAATGAACTTTTTACTAACAGAA